AAGGAGGGAGGAGGAATAGAGAAGTAAAGGGGAGGGATAAGGAGGGAGGAGGATAGAGAAGAATAAAGGAAGTTAAGGGGAGGGCTAAGGAGGGAGGAGGAATAGAGAAGTAAAGGGAGGGATAAGGAGGGAGGAGGGAAGAGGGAAAGGGAGATGGGAGAGGGTGAGGGGGGGTAAAAGGAGGGAGAGAGAGAGGAGAGAGGGGGAAATAATGAGGAGGGAGGGGAAAAAGGAGTAACACGAGAAAGAATCAGAGGGAGGGAGAAACTTCAATAGATAAACAGACATCGACACGCAATTTCTCTCCTCTCTTTCTATCCATTTATCTATGTTATCATCTATCTCTATTCATTATCTCCCTCTTCCTACCCCTTCTCTCTCTCTCTCTCTCTCTCTCTCTCACCACACTCACTCACCACACACACACACACCCATCAGAGAGAGAGAGAGAGAAGAGAGAGAGAGAGAGAGAGAGAGAGAGAGAGAGAGAGAGAGAGAGAGAGAGAGAAAGAGAAGAGAGAGAGAGGGAGGAAGAGAAGGAGGGGAGGGAGGGAGGGAGGAGGAGAGGGAGAGGAGAGGAGAGGGAGAGGGAGAGAGAGAGAGAGAGGGAGAGAGAGAAGAGAGAGAGAGAGAGAGAGAGAGAGAGAGAGAGAGAGAGAGAGAGAGAGAAATTTCACACTGCAATTAATAAAGTATTGCGAAGTCTCCTTTCAAGCAATTGAACTTTCTACAGAGTCTGAACTCTTGTCAATTTTCTGGGTCGCTTTCATTCCAAGAAATCCAAGGCTGCCTTATTTGCTGAATGTTCTTCTAATATATCCAATTTGTCATCAATTTTGAGTCCGATATTATATTCTTCAAGTCGTTCCTTTCTCTAATATTTTGCTTAAATCATATAAAAAAATCCTAGAATGGGCTATCATTAGTTGTCTTTTAAATCTTCATTATTTTTTATAATTATCATCTAATTCATTCATATATTTATCGATCTATGGATTTCATTATATTACCATCAATACCATTATCATTAATATTATTAAAAATACTACTACTATTAGCATTACTACTACTGCAAATACAGTCATTACTATTACTATCATTTCTACTCATACTATCATCATAATCACCATTTTTATTAATCTGTTTATTCATTAATCATTTTATTTACTGCCGGTAGAGACCAAGTGCAGGTAAGTACAATTCGGGTTCTACAATTCTACAATACAATACTACAATTCGGGTTCTGCAGCACGGATCCGCCCTGTCTGCTCTTCGTGTTGGGTGTCGACGCTATTTCACTGACTTGGTGCTGTGTAGGAGCTTCGTGAAGTTCATGGTAATCCCTCCAGTGCTGCAAGGAGGACGCACTGACAGGAAGTGTAGTGTTACGGGATTAGGGTGATGCTTTTGGTACGAACAGATTCAAAACTTGGGATTATACTTGTTATGAGGTTCTAGGGTTTGCTGTCAAATTGGATGATCTTCCCGACGTATGTCCTTCCTTCTGCTTCTCCTCCTCCTCTTCCTCTTCCTCCTTCTGTTCTTCCGTCTCCTGCACCTCCTCCTCCTCCTTCCTCCCGTTCTTTCTCCCCTACCCCTCCACTTCCTCCGTCTTTCTCCTCCTTCCCATCTTCTTCTCCTCCTCCTCCCCGAAGACTTACAAGAAGCCGTCCTTCCCTTAATCTCTTAAAGTACTCCCTCAGACTCGCATCTCCATATTGATACGAGAGATCCAATGCATAAAACCGGGTTGAATAGAAGTCAACATCCCTCCTCCTTCCTCATTTCCATTTCTCAATTCCTCCTCCTCCTCTCCTCCCTCCAGATTTTCCACTTTAGAAAACTTCTTCTTCCTCGACGTTGTAGAATTTCGTAAATATTATGTAGATAAGGACTGACTCTATTGCATCATATTCTTAAACCATATTGGACACTGGTTGCAGATAATGGGTTGAAAAGAAGTCGGTATTCTTTTATCACCCATTTCCATTTCTGAATTCTCCTCCACCTTCTGTGTTATTTTGAGTGGATTCGATGAGCGTTTGATGACCACGTGCATCAGAAGAAAAGAACGCCAACGCATATCTCTAATCCTACGCCATGAGAACTCACTAAACCCGGGTTGAACAAGAGACCTCATTTCCATCTCTTAATTCTTCTCTCTACTCTCTCCATATTTTCCTCTTTGAAGACGTTTGTTTGCGGATATCATCGCATTTCACAGGCATTATCAGGGCCGAGAAAACCGCGGTGCTTCATAACCCATATGGCATTCGATTGCATAAGCTCTGGGCTCAATAGGAGTCAATTTTCCTTTCCACCTTTTCCATTTCGAAATTCCCGATCCTTTCTCGCATTTCTAAGGCATTTCTACCTTAAGGATGTTTTTTCTTTCTATGTTATATCAAGGTTATCATTAGAGAGATTATGACTGAGCTTATACTAAGTATGTGAATGGTTTCGTCATGAACCTACCTCTTTTCCCGTAGAAATCTATGTCGAATTATCTATTTATTTATCTTTTTTTTTTCTTTTTTTCTTATATTTATTTATTATTATTTTTCATTTCACTGAACATCTCTTATTACCTCTTTTTTAAGGTTTCTACTTCCAAAAGGCCTTGTTTATAGACATAAGAATAATTTATACGAATTACATGAATGAAAGACTGAGAATATTCTAATACGATACATACCGCATAAACATGTGAAAGTTTGCATTAAAACCAGTATTTCTCTTTTTCTTTATTCATAATTTGCCTCTTTCCTGAATTCAAACCTTCCACTTCAAATGAGCTTGTTTCATGGATATTGTACGAATCAGACTGGTATAATGACAACGCATTCATTATGATTTAAATTAATTCTTGTTCGACCATTTTCATGACTAAATTCCGTCGATAGCTTAACGGCCGATTTGTTAAAATTGTGCGAGGTCGACCCAATGAACATTCATTATACGGACATGTATATACACTAAAATAAATACATATCAGTCTAGACATGCAAATCTGTCTATCATATATATATATATATATATATATATATATATATATATATTATATATATATATATATATTATAATATATATATATTATATTATTTATATATATATATTATATACTATATTATTATATATATATATATTTATATTTAAAAAAAATTTAAAAGAATTCTCTTTATATTTAATCATTCTGCTTGTAAAAAGTACCATTTGTGATGGTGATGATGTATTAACGATCATGCTACTAATATAATAATCATAAGAATGATGGATAATATGAATGATAATGATAATATATATCTACTAATACTAACAATACATTGCTAATAAGAATGATTATAATGACATATAATAATAACAACTAATAATAAAATGATGATATAATAATGATAATAATTGATATATTATGATGATGATGATGATTGATGATGATATGATTCTAATAATAGCAATAATGAGGAAGATAAAATAATGATTCTAATAATGATGATGATTTATTTATTTGAATAATATTTATTTATATGATTAATATTATTGTTGCTTTTATAATGGATATCATTATAGTCATTGTTTTCATTATCATCACTATACTCACCATCATTATTATCGTGTCCTTATTTCAAGATAAAAATACTCATCTTTCTTCTCTGTGCATTTGAGCCAAAAAAAAAAAAAAAAAAAAAAAACTATATATATATATATATATTATATATATATATATATTATATATATATTATATTATTATATATATATATGCATACATATAAATAAAAAAAAGATAAATAAATAAAAAATAACAATAAAAATAATAAATAATAACAATAATAATATAACAATAACGATAACACAGTGAATAACTAAATAAGTCCGCGTTTCCATCTTCTAAATGGCAACCTCCCATTCAATTCGGTGTCCAATTTGTTAATTAAATGTTCGAATTAAACGACAGTTCGGATTCACATACCTTCGCCTTTCCTATTTATTTTCGTTTAATCTGTTAATCATTTTTAATTTCGTTTTTTTTTTTTTTTTTTTATTCAGTTTGTACGCCATTTTATCCTTGTTCTTATTTACATGTACTTTTTTATCTGTTTATCTTAATCTGTTTCAAACGGTAAAGCCATTTTTTTTTTTTTTTTTTTTTGTTGTGTGTCTGAATGTTTATTTCTCTCTCTATCTCTCTCTATCTATCCTTTCTTTCTTTCTTTTTTTTTATCCCGATTTTCTTTTCTTTTTAATTCCCTAATTACACGTACGTACACGTACTTCATCCACTCTTGGGAAAAGGATAACTGGCAACTCCGGAATCTGGTGTACACAGCTTGTCTCATTTGTGAGAAGAAAAAAAACAAGTGGTGTTCGACTGAAAATTCAAATCTAAAAAATAACAATATTGAAGTAAAAAAAAAAAATATATATATGTGTGTGTAGATTTAAAAAATGCAAAATATATGAAGATTGGAGAATGAATTGCCACAAATTTAATTTCGGACTAGCATCCTATTTCGAGATATTTGATTTACCGAAACTCTTGTTGTTAACTACTGTCTAATTTCTATAAATTTAACTATTCATGATTCAATGTGTATCATTAGCCTTATATTTTTTCCCTATTAATCACAGTAATCAAAATTATCAATTGTAATCGTTCCAAGTGGAAATTATTATTTCAGCGAAAAAAAAAAATAAAATAAATAAATAAATAAAATAAAAATAAATAAATAAATAAAAATAAATAGTCCAATCACTTATCTTCTCAGTTGCCATACCCTAAAAAAAACTTTCGATATCAATCAAAATACCGCAAAACGAATCATTACTTGCCTAATCACTCATTCCTGTTTATTCCCTCTTTATCCTAATAAAGCGTGGGAAAAGAGTCAAGACAAATGATTTACAGTTTGGTTGAGATTGCTTCATGATTTTACTGTCTGGATTCAGTCTGCTTTAGTGTACAAGGATGTATATAATTCACGGGGACTTTCTTGCAGATCAGTATGTTATATTGTAAGTTCAGACCCAGACAGGCCAAGCAGACCAGACCAAATAGCAGCAAAGCAGACCAGGGCCAGCATACCAGACCAGACCAAGACCAGGTAGAGCAGACAGGCCAAGCATACCAGACCAATAGAGCACACAGGCCAAGCAGGCCAAGCAGACCAGCAAATAGACCAAGCAGGGCCAGACAGACAAGCAGACCAGTAGACCAAGACCAGCAGACAGGCCAGACCAGACCAAATAGACAGCACCAAGCAGACCAGTAGAGCAGACACCAAGCAGACCAGACCAAGCAGGCCAAGCAGACCAAGACAGGCACAAGCAGACCAGACCAAATAGAGGGCCAAGCAGACCAGACCCAGCAGGCCAAGCAGACCAGTAGAGTAGACAGGCCAAGCAGACCAAACCAAAATAGACACAACAGCCAAGCAACCAGACAGAGCAGGACAGGCCAAGCAGACCACGACCAAAAAGAGACCCACACAGGCCAAGCAGACCAGGTACCAAGCAGGCCAAGCAGACCAGACCAAACCAGACCAACAGGCCCAGACCAAGCAGACAGGCAACAGACCAAACAGAGCACACAGGCAAGCAGGCCAAGCAGACCAAGATAGAGCAGACAGGCCAAGCAGACCAGACCAAAGAGACCAAAAGGCCAAGCAAACAGACCAAGCAGACCCAGGCAAGCAGACGAGACCAAACCAAGAAGACCAAGCAGGCCAGGTAGCAGGCCAAGCAGACCAGACCGGAAAAGGTTTAGGATAGGACCGCACCGACTAGGAGAAAATTGAAGATCACAGAGTTGTAGGCGATGGAAAATTACATACTTTGCTATAAAATTGATTGTAGAGAGGTGAACCTATTCGAGTTAAACGACGAAATGTGACGCGTAAAATGCCCATGCGCCTCCAGCTACTAAAGGTCGTGTCACAGGACTTTTTCCGCATTACTTTTCCGCTGGCACCACGGAAATCGTGGACATTTTGGCTAGCGCAGTCACACTAGCGATGAGAACCACGGAAACAGTCCGACCAAAATTCTAAACAGAGAAAGATGGGTTCAACCCCCGCACAGGCTCTGGCGATGATGGACGTTATTCTGGCTATGTGGCGACGATTTAATGCGAAACAACGAATGTGTAATGCTAAATAAGGGCGCATTCTCGCTACTCTTCTCAGCTCTCATCTGGACACGATGTAAACAAACAGGCGAGCGAACAAACTGTTTTTTTTTAAATACAAGAGAATTTTGCCAATTTTAAAATACTTACAGTTTAGTCTGTCTTTTGAATCGTTTTTATTATTAAATACTTTTTTTTTTTACGTTACTATAACGATTATCTATTATAGCTTAACATTTGAATAAAAAAAAGACCACGGTAACTTGCCACCGAAAGCGATAATTATCGTTTGACTGGAATTTATCGCATTCACCAAGATACATGCGGCATCGAGACAAAAACCACAGAAACGTGAAAGAACCACGAAAATTGTGCTAGTCCACATCCACCTAATGTTTACAAAGTTCTCGCTCAGTTTTCACAACTACTGCTGGGCCACTGCGCATGTACGTCACGTGACGTCAATACGAATCGTGTAATTTTTTAACTTTTCATGTATATTTCATGATTTTATCGATTATGTTTAGTCTCGCAGTGTTTAGTCGGTTATGGCCTGTGTTTAACATTTTTTTTTTTTTTTTTTTTTTTACAACCGTTGCATTTCATATTCTGCGCGCGTAAACTAAGGAGGGTCACTTTGACAGCCGGTCAGTTTGAAGTATGGCTAACCGGTGTCAAGCCTGTGACAGTGGGTTTGGTGAATTTTTCAAAAAGTTTTCAGGAGATTTCGAAGGTCTTTTACATGACTATAGTAAACATTTACCCAAGCACAGGCCACCACCAGACAAGCAGGCACACACCAGACCAAGTAGGCAGAGCACCAGTCCAACAGGCAAGACCAGACCCAGGTCAGGCAGACCAGACCAAGCAACACGACTATCAGCCGAAATTTCATTCGTACAGGGTCTGGCGGCAAATATCTGGCACACACTAAAAAATATATTATCACAGACTGAATGAAGATGAAGAAAAATATAAATCATGTAAAAAAGAACGTTAGCTGACATCTTATACATTAATATCCTTTAATCGTTTCACTTCATTTCAAATTCATACTTCACTCATTTCTTTCACAAACACAGACCGAAGGCACACGCCGCTTGATATTCCAAAACAATATTTCAATATTCATACATCATAGTATTGACACATGGAAATGAAAACTAAATTTAAGAATTAGATAATTAGATAATAGAACTTGAAGACCTCAGTCGAGAAGCCGTCTTTCCTCCGACTTCAATTGAGGCGAAGAATCGAAACGTTTCGGATTTGCGAGTCGGTGGTGAAAAATGAACCGCTAATGAGTGACAACAAACAGCGATACGAACCCTTAACCCCAACAATACATGTGTGTGTGTGTGTGTGCATAAAACATACTTGCCTACACACAGCACACATATACACATATATATATATATATATACATGTATATATACATTTATACATACATATATATATATATATATATATATATATATATATATATATATATAATAATACATATATATGTAATATTAATATATGTATAAGCATAACATATACATGTATATATATATATACATATGCATGCATATAATAAGCATACATATATATATGTATGTGTGCGTGTGTGTATATATTATATATGTATGTAAATATATATTATATATATATATATATATATATATATTGGTAAATTTGTTTATAAGGCTGATTTAATGTTAAAGAACCTGGAAAATAGAAAAAAAAAGTTTCGGTCACGAAAGATTCGAACCGCGCGGCATTATGCGAACGAACGAACGAATGAATCCCATCTTATTCGCACACAACCTACAAAGACAGCCTAATAAACAAAAACCTTCATAATCACAAATTTCGGTCTTTACTCCCCCCTCCCAAGTCACCGTATATATCTAGCCAAGAGTAACTTCCAACCGCATGTTTTACGCAACTAATTCATACATTAAAATATTCAATACAATGGAAAAAGGCAAGTTTGACTTACCGTATGTCTGAAGGATGGCTCGTTGATAAGGAGACGAACCTCAGGCGAACTCCTGCAGCGAAATTTTAGCACGGTTATTGTAATTCACTGGATATGTAACGATTATTGTTATCCCGAGGTCGTCAGAGTTCGATTTTCACCGAATATTGGGGAGAGAATTCGAAACCACAAAAAGCACTGTAAACAAACCACTTCCGAAGCGGATACGGAGCACTGTGACAACACGACTGCCAAATTTCCAGATAGATGGCGTATAGGTGTAACATGTATTTCTAATATGTAATAATAGTAATGATAATATGCGTACATGATAATATACAACGCATGGCATATTTAAGGAGTGTTTATTTAATGAATGCGTATTTCTGTAATGCGATTGGTGGTGACGTCATGAGCTTCATGCGCCAAGTCATGTAGATAAGTTGTTCACTGAGGGAAGGCTATTCTTGCATACGTGTATACGTGTGTGTGTAAAATATATATATATATATATATATATATATATATATAATATATATATATATATATATTATATACGTGTGTATATGTATGTGTGTGTGTGTGTTGTGTGTGTGTATATATATATAATATATTATATAATATATATATATATATATATAATATACATATAATACATATATATATATATATATATTAATTATGTGTGTGTGTGTGTGTGTGTGAAACATATCCTATATATACATATTATATAAATATATATATATATATATATATATATATATATATATATATATATATTATATATATACATATATATATATATATATATATATATATATATATATATATATATGTATATGCCATATATATATATATATATATAATATAATATATTACATATATATATGTATATATATGTACATATGACTATATATATGTATATATGTATTATACATACATATATTGTACACACACACAAATATGTGTGTATATACACGGGCGTGTGTATGTGTGTGTGTACACGAGACTTCTCTGACCCCCTTCCGCTTTTCCTTGGAGGCTGACATTTTACATGCATAAAGATACACATCTATTTAGGTCATGTGTTGATTTCCAGTTCTTAACCCATAGCATATTTTCTGTTCCAACGGAGAAATTCGGTCCACAGGTTGCATTTCAAGCCATGAAGTGACCAGAATTTAGAGTTTCATATTCTTGGAAAACGTTTGCCCTTCAAAAATGGCCTTATGGACGGAGAGAGGCGAAAGTCAGACGGTGCAAGGTCAGGAGAATAAGGAGGAGAGGAAGGATGTAGCCACAGAACCGGGCATGTGAGAGTTTTGAACAAAGGCATTGTCTTGTAGGAGGCCTTGGTCAACATTCTGCACCTCTTGGTTTTATCAGCCTCCCGTAATTTGTGTAGCAGTGAAGGGTAGTAAGTTCCTGTAATTGTAGTATCTTTTGCCAGGAAATCCTCATCATTTCTCCATGCTTGTCCCTAGAGACTGTGAGCATGACCTTGCCTGCTGAGGGTGGGACATGGGCCTTCTTTGGGGTGGGGGGGGGGAGTCAAAGTGCTTCTTATGTTTTGATTGGGTTTAATTTTCTGAATCATGGTAATGGACCCAAGTTTCACACTGCAGCATTTGTCAGTCAAAATTGTCCTGTTTTTCTTGGCATTAGGGCAGTTTTAAAAAAAAACTCTTCTCTTTTTTTTTTCTTTTATCATTATTATTATTATTATTATTATTGAATGGCAAAATATGTCAGAAACATCAAATTCAAGGAACACGTTCAATTTATAGTGGATAAAACTAATAGAGAGTTGCAAAGAAAGATCCATGGAACAATGGACTCGTCCCTGCTTCTGGAAAGGTATGAGTCCCGCGAATCCATAAGTTTTACACATGCAGATGGTTATGAATGATTTTGTCCACAGACCTAAACACTAATCTTGGCATCTTGGGCTAGCTGCGAACAGTACTACGGCGACCTTCCAAAATGGCAGTCTCCACTTGATGGCTGGTGTCCTCATCAGTGGCAGACCAGGCTCTCCTTCGATTTCACAGATCCCCGACCACGCCTTTAGCTGGTGATATCAATGTTTAACGTCATATGATGTGGTATCCTTCCCATAAATTGCTTTCATTTCATCAAAGGTAGTGCTATATGACCTTTGGTGCATAGCACATTAATTTTCTTGTCATTATTACTTACTTTCATCAAAGGTCTCTTGTGTGGTGCGGCCATTCAAGGATAAAAACCTGATCACTGCTCGATAGTCCACTGGTTCCGTTTACTCACTCCTGAACCTTCACCGATGTAAGGCCACAAGAATTAACGTTCTTGTTTTGCGTCAAGAATGAAAATTGATGACGTTATTTTTCATTATTCATGATTCATTATTTATTTCTACAAGCATTTGAAGACGAGAACAGCTTTTCAGTCATCAAATCATCTAAGTACTTGTTGGCAATCATGGCACTTTTCATTCATATTTACTAGTAATGACAAGAGCATTGCATGGGAGTAAACCGTTTGTTGTGTTGTACGTTTTTTGGGGGGGGAACAAATAATGAAATAATGAAATTTTATGGCGGCCGTTGTCAGACCCTGAGGGCAGTGGGTGCAAAACAGGAACTTTGATTCTCCTTCCATAACAGTAAATTTGTTTTGAGTTAAGGACTGGAGACTGTGTGT